ATAAATTGTGAGGGAAAGGGGTTTGGATTTGAGAAGGGCTTGCACAGAGTAAAAAAGAACTACAAAGCTTATTGCTGGGTCATTTTTTTTTGTGGTTGGGTTTGTGAAGGCCTGCCAGTAGGGCCCAAAAGCCCACGCAGTGTTCCTCCTTTTAAAGTTCTTTGCTTTTTTTTTAAACTGCCGGTTAAACCTCATTTGCCCATTGAATAATCTCCATTTTTTAACCCAAAATAAAAATTCCAATCTTTGAAACCCCGATAGGCCAGGATCCTCCAAATTCCCCGAGTGCCAATTGGGTTTCCTACCTATCTGGAGAGTAAACCCCGGGTCGGTCCCCCACGGCCCGCCATGATTAGTTATAAAACATAGAAAGGAAACACTGCAGAGGCCTGTTGGCCCCCTATAGCAAGTCCTTCATTACCCCTTCCCCTAACAAAACATTTTCCCCAACCCCAAATTTTAATGCCACCCAAGAAATAAGCTCTGATAACTCTATCCAAGATATGATACTACATGCCCCAAACTGCCCTTCTCACACTATACCATTCACTTATATATCCATACCTCACCTATGCTATCTGTGCTTGGAGTTCAACTGCAGCAACACACCTAAAGCCAATAATAACCCAACAAAAAGCCACAGTAAGAATAATCACTAAATCCCATCCCTGGCAACCCCCCCCCCCCCACTCTTCCTAGATCTAAACTTACTCCCTGTTCAGAACATCCACACTACTGTGCAGTCTATATCTACAGGACCTTAAATTCCAATATTAACCTTGACCTAAAATGCTTTCTTGATAGTTGTGACAGGCTCCACAGGCATAACACCAGACACAAACATCTCTATGACATTCCCCGTGTTCGACTAAACCTTTACAAAAATTCAATGTATTTCAAAGGACCTAAAATCTGGAACGCCCTACCTGAAAACTAGAACTGCAGACACATTCATCACTTTCAAAACTACAGTTAGAAAACATCTCATCTCCCTGATACACCCCGACAACTAACTACATGATAACCACCTGGTGGTTCACAATTACTCACTCACCCACTGACTATAAACCCAGAAATACTAATCTTAAAATAATAAATCCTAACTAGTTATAAGTTTGCCTATGATACTCCAATATAGACACCTTGTATTGTGCCAAAACAAAAGCATTCACATTGCTAAACTCTCAAATTATGATGTAGTCGCTTAGCCTTAATACCATAATCTGTAAGGATTTAATGTTAAGAATTAATCTAAGTCTGCTCGAAATGCCTAGCCATGCTAGGTGTCCTAGTGGCTCCCTCTGTAATTAGTATTTTATAACATGTAAACCACACAATACCCAAAACCTGTAAACCCCACATTGTAACCCTTATAGAGAATAAACTTGAATATGCAAGTCCCAATCATATCCAGCCCCTCTCACTCATGTATTTATGCAACCTAAATTTGAAACTACCCAAGGTTTTAGCCTCAATAACCAAACTAGGTAGACTGTTCCACTCATCAACTGCCCTATTTCCAAACCAATACTTTCCTATATCCTTTCTAAATCTAAACTTGTCTAATTTGAATCCATTACCTGTCTAATCTCAATTGGGGTTATCTGTCAAATGATATTATTGACGATGATCATACTTATGATTACGAAGGGATCTGCGTTTGATTTTTTTCTTAATAATGTACACTAGGTCTAAGAATGCACATCAGAAGAGGAGAGGTTAACCTTACTGACCAATATGTTCAGCTTAAAAGAGAAGTAAAAAAGCGGATTAGAAAGGCTAAACGTGACTATGAAATTAGTGTTGCTAATGAATCAAAGATCAATCCAAAGGGGTTCTTTCAAGTGTATAGGACGAAGGTGAAGGAAAAAGTAGGACCTCTGAAAATTGGGAATGGACAGCTGACAGATAACAAACTGGAAATGTGTTCCTTATTTAATGACTATTTTTTGTAAATTTTTACACAGGAAGACATAAATGAGATTCCAGAAATTAACAATTACTCGGTTCCTGATGAATTCAAATTAACTAATATTACTGTCACGAGGGACATGGTTATCAAACAGATAGACAAACTGGAGCAAAATAAGTCCCCGGGACCCGGCGAGTTGTTTTCCAGGGTACTTAAGGAATGCAAGATGAATTTAGTCAGCCATTAACGAGCGTGTTTAATGCATCCATCCTTACCGGTGTTGTGTCAGAGTTGTGGAAGATGGCTAATGTGATTCCTATATTCAAATCAGGGGATAAGTCCACTCCTTCAAATTACCGCCTGATATCTATAATGGGCAAGTTATTAGAATCAATTATAGCTGACATTATTAGAAGTCACCTTGAAGAACATAATTTGATTAATGAATCTCAGCATGGGTTCACGAGAGGTCGTTCCTGCCTGACAAATTTACTGACGTTGTTCAGTAGAACATTTGAGGCAGTAGACAGTGATAAAGAATATGATATTGTTTATTTGGATTTTAGTAAAGCCTTCGATAGAGTACCTCACAAGAGACTTTAGAAAAGTGGCAGCTCATGGTATAGGAAGTAAAGTTCTAACATGGATAGAGGCATGGCTTACCAATAGAAAGCAGAGAGTTTCCATTAATGGGGTCAAATCTGAATGGGGCTTAGTCACTAGTGGCATTCCACAAGGATCAGTTTTAGGACCTCTCTTGTTCATAATGTACATTAATGACCTTCATGAAGGGATTATGATTGACATGAGTAAGTTTGCTGATGATATAAAGATAGGCCGTATAATACATTCCGTGGGGGATAACAATGAACTCCAGGAGGATTTCGACAAATTAATGTCTTGGTCTAAAAAATGGCAGATGAAGTTCATTGTGGATAAGTGTAAGGTACTAGTCCTTGGTAATGAAAATAACCCTCGAAGCTATAAACTAGGTGAAGTAGAGCTTGATCATACATAATGTGAAAAAGACTTGGGAGTCATGGTAAGCAGAAATCTAAAGCCAAGACAGCAGTGCCTTAGTGTGTGCATCAAGGCTAACAGATTACTAGGATTTATCTCTAGAAGTATAAGTAACAGAAGTCCAAAAGTTATTCTACAGCTCTATACATCACTAGTGAGGCCTCGTTTAGATTATGCTGCTCAGTTTTGGTCTACGTACTACAGGATGGATATAGACTCATTGGAGAACATACAGAGAAGAATGACTAAAATGATTTACTGTGTGAGGAATGTCCCGTATGAAGATAGACTTAAAGCCTTAAATCTCCACTCTCTGGAGAGACGTAGAATGAGGGGAGATATCATTAAAGTGTATAAGTGGATGACGGGTGTCGAACCAGGTAAGAACCAGAAATAATGGGTTTAAGTTGGATAAATTTAGATTTAGAAAGGACATAGGTAAGTACTGGTTTTCTAACAGAGTTGTGGATGCTTGGAACAATCTTCCCAGTAGGGTGAGTGAGGCTAGGACTTTGGGCAGCTTTAAAAAGAGATTGGACAAATATATGAGTGGAAGGGGCTGGGTTTGATTTGTGTCATTGGGTATGGGAGTAAATTCTTGAGTAGCTTTTGGTAGAGGTCATTTTGATAAGGACCTGTCTTGTATGGGCCAGTAGGCCTTATGCAGTGTTCCTCCATTCTTATGTTACTGTGGGTTCTCTCTTGGAGAGATATCTTCAAGACCTTATTTATATCCCCTTTATTAATACCCATCTTCCACTTGTACACTTCGATCATGTCTCCCCTCATTCTTCGTCTAACAAGTGAATGTAATTTAAGGATTTTCAATCTTTCTTCTTAAGGAAGATTTCTAATGCTATGTATTAATTTAGTCATTCTACGCTGAATGTTTTCTAACGAATTTATGTCCATTGTGTAATATGGGGATCAGAACTGAGGTGCATAATCTAGGTGAGGCCTTACTAATGATGTATAAAGCTATAATATAACTGCTGAACTTCTGTTGCTTACACTTCTTAATATAAATTCCAGTAATCTGTTTGGCTTATTACGTACGATTAGGCATTGCGGTCTTGGTTTAAGGTTACTGCTTATCATAACCCCCCCCCCCCCCCAAGTTCTTTTCGCAATCTGTATGGCTAAGTTCTACGTTATTTAACTGATAAGTACACCTACCATCTGACTTACAACCTGCTCGACTTACGATTACACGACTTACGCCCGTATTTTTTATGCCAAATTTCTGGGAAATAAACGACTATTTGTGTTGTACACAGTGTTTATCCTAAACCTTACAGTATAAAATATAGTACTAACAGCATAAAAAGTAAAGTAAAACATGAAATACCAAAATAAAACAATAAAATAGTCATTACAAAAATGTTTTGTTGATATTCAGTAGTAAAGTTCGACTTACGACCATTTCGACTTAAGACAGGTTTCTCGGAACCGAACTCGGTCGTAAGTCGGGTGGTAGGTGTACTAGGGTTATGGACACTCCCGAACCTCAGAACCTTGCATTTATCTACATTGAACTGCATCTGCCACTTTTCTGACCAGGTATTGAGTTTGTCTAAATCCTCCTGGGAAGTCTCCAGTGTTTTTCTGATGTAATTTTCCCATATATTCATTTAGTGAAATTATCAACAAATTGTAATCCAATATAAATTAGCATAAAATAAACCTCATTTATGTTTTAGGGCTACTGATGGTTATATTTTACCATTTCTGAACCTGATACCTGAGGTCAGTGATTTGAAAATTCAGCAGATTCACTGGATTCCCTCTGTTCTTTCAATTCATCACTTTTTTTTTTTTTTTTTAATGATAGGCAAACTTGGCTATCTACGTGTTAATCTTTCAGTATTTTGCTGTAATTGTAATTTAGTCCTGCTGTCACTAATAATACCAATACAGCAGGAGGCACTGTTTAACTATCTGCTGTGTAATTAGCATTGTCATGGAGGAAATAAATTTGGAATGGTATCTTAATGTATACATTTTTTTTTTTCAGGAGTTCCATTTTTCCTGAAGAGAACCCTTTTTTATCAGGGTGGGTTACCAACGAGCAACAACGGACGGGCAGAGGAGCCAGGGGGGTGCTTCTCGCTCCGTGGGAGGAAGGTCAGTTGGAGTTTCAGTTAACATTATCTCGATTTTGTTGACTATTACTAATATTAGCATTACATTTAGAACACTTAAAATATACAGTTTGATTTTATTCAAGTTGCTTGGTTTCTTTTACAAAGTATGTACTGAATATTATTTTTATATGGTGCTTTCAGTATTTTGTATTCACATATTCATTAAGCAGTTTGCAAACCTTTACAGTAAAATGTCATTTAGTACACAGGTTACTTCCCAGAAAGAGTATTTATAACATTACAATTATTTCAGTGTAATACTTCTCAAAACCTGGAAATAAGTCATATTGATTGATTTGACTGGGTTATATATACTGTATAATTATTTTTATTACATTTTTTATTTGGTCTTCTAAAGCTGTACGTAATGAATACTTAAAATATTGCAGTTAGAGTACGGTGGAACCTCGGTTTTTGCCTTTAATTCGTTCCAGAGAGCCTGACGAAAACTGAATTCGACGAAAACTGAAACAATATTTCCCATAAGAAATAATGTACGGTGAACTCCTGCGTTGCGGCGGCTGCAACTTTCGTGAAATCCAACTTTTGGCAAAATATAGCCTCGTGGTTTGTGATTTGCCTCACGATTCGTCCGTCGTACGGGACGCGTCCGTGCAGCCAGGAGCGGCTGGGCGTACACAAAGGCTCCCACACAACATCCAGAGAGTCAGTGTGACATATGTGGGCAAGTGACCATCACCCCCACGGGTTCATACAATATACACCTACCATCCGACTTACGACCGAGTTCGGTTCTGAGAAACCGGTCGTAAGCCGAAATGGTCGTAAGTAGAACTTTACTACTGAATATCAACAAAACATTTTTGTAATGACTTTATTTTGTTTTATTATGGTATTTCATGTTTTACTTTACTTTTTATGTTGTTAGTACTGTATTTTATACTGTAAGGTTTAGGATAAACACCGTGTACAACACAAATAGTTGTTTATTTCCCAGAAATTTGGCATAAAAAACACGGTCATAAGTCGAGTGGTCGTAAATCGAGCAGGTCGTAAGTCGGATGGTAGGTGTATTTCATAATCCATTGCTTTTTGTGCTTGCAACTGCTAAATAAACCACCATGGGCTTAAAGAAGGCTCTCCTAGTGCCAGTTCTTTGGTAAAGACGGAAAGAAACACTATAGAATTCAAGAAAAATCTCATAGCAAAATACCAAAGTGGACGAGGAAGAGAGAGGGGAGAATGTGCCTTCTTCAGTGATTCTAAAATATGTACAATACTAAAGCAGCAGATATCGATAAAGGCTATAGCTCCAGCCAGCGATAAAGTGTAGCAAGTAAGTTAAGCGATTAAGCAATAGAAAAACGACACGACACTAACTCTCCAATGTTGTTGGTGTATAGGGCCACTGAACATACACTGCCCTGCTATCTTCCACTATCCTAAACCTCTGCCAGCATCTCCTCCATCAAACTAATTAAACTAAAATCTCCTCCAAGGGAAGTGTAAATATTTCTTATTTATAAATTACGTACATTGTTTCAGTGTGAATAGTGGTGGTGGTGGTGGCTTCTGCTGCCACCTCCACTACCACTAATATGTACGACTTCTCTCAGTGGCCCTTATAAACCCAACAGCACCACCACCACCACTTCTCATATTTTTTTTTTTTCTTTCTCTCCAACAAGTCGGCCGTCTCCCACATATTAATTCTAGAATATATATCATGTTTCTATGTTATTATTGTTAATGTCATATTAGATGAATTGTGATAGATAAATAGGCCAGAGAGATTAGCATCATATTGAAGCATAATAAACTCGCCTCCTGCCAGCCTGCCATGTACCAACAAGTCTTCATTAAAGGTAAGTGTGATGTTAAATGTTCATTTATCCATTTTATTAGTTCTTTATACTTATTTGTCATTGTTTTCTGTATGTAAATCTATATTTAATCTTCAAAAAAAAAATATTTTTTTGTTAATCTGGGTGTCTGAAATGTATTGTATTTCCATTTTTTCTTATGGGGAAAATGGTTTCACCATTTATGAATTTCAACTTTCTGCAGACTCTCTGGAATGGATTAATCATGAAAAACAAGGGTCCACTGTAAATCCAATTAATCCATTCCAGACACCCAAAAATATTAACAAAAATACATTTTATAGAGAATAACTAGTTTTACATACAGAAAACAGAGAAATATAAAGTACTAATGAAATGGATAAATGAACGTTTAAATCACTTTTACCTTTATTGAAGACTTGTTGGCGTATGGAAGATGGCGAGGAGGAAAGAGGCTCTCGACCACCATCACAACCACTATCACTCTCTACCACCATTGAATTCTACTGTGTTTCTCGCCTTCTTTATCAAAGGGCTGGCACTCGGAACTTTCTTTGGCCCCATGGTGGCTTATTTAGCAGTCACAGTCAATAAACAAGCACAAAAAACAATGGATTACGAAATGTTTTGTATGAATATGCAGGGTAATGTTCACTCAATGAGAAGCAAAGCCAGACTGACTCAGATTGCATGCGTGGGATGCTTTGAGTGGGCGCGGGCAGATGGATACATTCGGTATGGCAGATAAAAACCGAGGTGATGAACGAAAACTGGGACAGCATTTTAACAGTCTAAAACCGAAACCAGGGCAAGTGAAAACAGAGGTTCCACTGTACATTAGTCATAAAAATGTGAAAGTTATCTTTAGTGCTAGTGTACAACCTGTGGTGTAATTATAAGGGAACAAGCTGCGCAAGTGCCATGTGCACCCCACCTCCAAGCCCCCTCCTCATGCCCCCACCCCATTCCACGGATCCTACACCACCCAGCCAACAATCCCACCCCCAGCCCCCCCTCCTCGCACCTTCACCTTTCCACACCCACCACCTACCACATACACATGCCCAGGAGTGATCATGGCCAGGAATAGTCTGTTGTGTATGTGAAAAATTTTGTGAGAAATATGAGGGGCATTGATTGTGAAATATGTGGGAAAACATCCCATATATCATGTACAAAGCTTCATGCAACCATGATGAAGGACCTAAAACAAGAAAGTCATTTCTGGATTTGCCCCAGTGAGAGGGGCAGCTGGTCAGGCACAAGAGAGGTACTGAAGAGTGAAAACCTAGAAAGCATAAGGAAGTTTCTAAGAAGCTTGCCAGAGTTGTACAAAGAGTGGAAAACGGGATAAGGAACAAGAAAAGGAGGAAGACGCAAATAGAGGTGAAAACTAGGGGTGTAAGTAAGAATGGAAAACGTAACACAGAGCAAGTTGGAAAAGAATGAAACAAGGATACATAACATAGCAGAAAGGGAAAGGGAGGATGAGAATGCTAGAGCAGTAACAAATGAAAGCAAGAAAAGGGAAGAAATTAGCCTAGAAGAAAGTGAACAAGACAACTCGTATCAGGTGGCAGAACTTGGGAATGACACAAAATCAGTAAATATAGGTAGTCAGAACATTTGCAGATACTATGCAAAAGGTATGTGCCTATATGGCAGAGATTGTTGGAATAAACACACCAGAAAATGTGCCAACATGTTGAGGAAGGGAAAGTGTCGTTTCAACAAAGATTGCAGCAGGTACTTCCATCCAGTAATGTGTCAAGCTTCAATGCAGTCCAGAGAATGTTATAACCTGAATTGCCCAGACCACCATATAAAAGGAATGTGGCACTACAGTTAGCAGAGACAGGGAAATCGAACAGCAATCTTTTTTAGACAAAAAGAGAAAAGATCGAACCAAAGGAAGAGACAAACGGGGAATGGTAGAGAGAGGACAGATGGGCAGCAAAATGGAGCGTACCAAACCAGGCATCAGTTCATCAAGGCCGAATAAGCAACCAAAAGTGAAGTCAGTACTGGAGAAACCAGGGGCGTGTACACCAGGGGACATACCAGGTAGTACATCACCAGTGATACTAATGAAACACAGTGAGACAAAACATCCCAAATGGTAATTCCTGCTTCATATTTGCAAATATTCGGGGTTTGAAATCAAATAAAAATGACATCTATGTCAGTGGGCTCCTAACAGAAGTAAATGCCAAGTTTAGAGCATTTACAGAAACACATAGAAGGGAAGTTTTGGATGGAGAGAGAGATGGAAAACTACAACATGTATAAACGTGATAGAATTAATAGGTCACAGGGAGGAGTAGGAATCTATGTAAAGGATACTTTCTGTTGCACAGAAGTGCTGAACTCTACGAATGATATAAGAGAAATTCTAGGCATTAACCCTTTCAGGGATTCTGATGTACTAGTACGTCTTGTGCACCAGGGTTGTTGACGTATTAGTACGCGTAAATTCTAGCTCCTTCAGATCTAGCGAGAGAAAGCTGGTAGGCCTACATATGAAAGAATGGGTCTATGTGGTCAGTGCGCACAGTATAAAAGAAATCCTGTAGCACACAGTGCATAATGAGAAAAAAAAAACTGACCGTGTTTTTTTTTAAAACAGCGACTTCGCACTGTATTCTCGTATGGTATTAATGGCTGTATTCTAGTTTTCCTGGTCTCATTTTATAGAATGGAAGACATATTACAGAAATTGAGATGATTTTGATTGGTTTCACAATGAAAAGTACCTTCAAATTAAGCTCAAAGTAGCAGGAATGATTAATTTTTGCCAAAGTTCAAAAGTAAACAAATCGTGCCATGCGTCCAATACACGTCAACTGGTGAGTCTAATATTCTTTCACACTTCTACAGTAGTCTGCATAACAGTAAATCTTCTATTTTTTTTTTTTTGCGAGAATAAAAATTTGAAGTGGAAAGCAAAAGAAATGTAAGAGGGGCCTGGGGATGTGACTAATTAACAGAGGAAATGTTATTTTAGTGCTAGGAATGTGTGTCTTGTTTATTCTGGACCCTATTTGGAAATTGGCATCTTTTGAAATTTGTGTGAAATTGGCAAAATTGCCAATTTCTGACCACTTTATTGGATAGTTGAAATAGGTAAATGGGTGGTTTCTTGTACTCAGTTGTTATAAAAAATGGAGTTCTAGTG